TCAAAAGCTATAAAATATCGTCTTTATTTTTTTGAGATAACCATTCAGTATTTCCTTTTTAGGTTTTAAAATTAGTCCATTTTTATGTGATGGCTTATGATGTTACGCACTGTACAAAGATAAATTAAAATGCCTAAATATTATTATTATAAATATTACAGAATCGTGTTCATTTTGCTTTCTAAGGTATGTCTTTATACTATCATTTATTTTAAACAAAATATGGTTTATACTAATATTAATATAAATAATTGTAGAGACAAAACATTTCATAGTAAAGCTTTATTATGGTGTGAAAAATGATCAAGATTTTTTACAAGCAATAAATAATACTGATATAAGGAGTTGATGGAATTAATCCAGATACAAAAATTACAGATAGAGAGGTGTTGTATGAGTTTATTTAATAGATTTGATGATAATAAAAATTGAAATGTCAAAGGCTAACTAATCTCAATTCATGAATCCCTGGAAGAAAGTATTGGATCAATACTATATACAGTCAAACTAGTAATGTGATTGTAACAAATTTAATTATTAATTCTTATAGTCAGTAATTATTGAAATTTTTACTTGACAGACCATGACCATGTTATTGGTAGGCACCAGGTGCTATTATTATTAAATTGTTCAAAGGTGGATTTTTAATCATCAAGTAAAAAGAATTTTTTTTATTTGTGAATAAATTCATTCATTCATTCATATATATTAATATTTTTCTTTTTTTCACATTATTTTTTTACATATGAGAAACAATAATACACCATTAATTGTAATGAAGATAATAATAATATGTTGATGGCCACATAACAATGAATGTCAAGTTATTACTTTGGTATTCACATAACAATAAACCATTGTTTAAATATTTGATAAATAAATTAATAAAAATAAATACCTTTTAATTTATAATAATAAGTAATTTGATTGTCTCTAGTATAATTGTTATTACAAGAATATATCAACTATAAATAATTAATAATAAATATAATATGATTGTGTAACAGTTCTTTCTGATTGTGCGCTGCTAGATCTAAAAAAAAGTAATTAATAATTAATAGTGTAATAGATATAATAAATAAAATACAGTCGTGCAATTCTTTCTGATCATACATCACTAAATATGGCCACATAACAATTCTTTCTGATGTAACCATTAACCTTTGGAAAAAGAAAATCTCCTAGATGAATTGAGATAAATAATACCTTGTAATATTAATATTGCCACTCTCCTAGACAAATTGAGATTTTAATATTAATAATTACATTCTCTCCCAGATAAATAAATATATAAACAATAATTCTTTATAATATAGTTATTCATTTTTTCCTATAATATTTATTACTTACTTTCATAAAATAATAGATTGTTGAATCCAATCTGCATAAAATTCTTGACATGCTATTAATTTCTATAAAATAGTTTTTTGCGAACCTCTCTAAAACTTATTAACAAACACCCCCCATAAAGTAATGACCATATAAAAGCTTAGAGTATTTTACACCTCTTCAGTCACTATCAGGTCTTTTAAAGCGATATTGAAAAATAATCTGAGCCTTGAAGTGAAAAAGTGACACCATTTTTAAATAGCCGTAGATTTATATAGATAAGACCTTTCGATATGAAAGAGTATTCATTAGAAGGCTTTAATGTAGTATTTTCATTTTACTCTAACAACGAAGTTGGAGTTTATTATAAAAATAACGAGATATTTTAAAAAAAATTCATGTGGCACGAATTAGAAATTTATTTAATAAAGAAAATAATTTGAAAGGACATGTCACACGACTGGTACTTAATAACTTTTACGCCCAATTTTTCCCAGATTCGATCTCCATATTTGGAAATCTCCCTGACTGTATAATATAGTAATAGTGGTTCGGTCGACTTGAGCTATACACAATTCCGTGATTTCTGCGGCATTCTGCGCGCTATCAGAAAATCATTGTCCCTGTTTTCAGGGTAAAATGGCTTTGACGATCAAGTTATTTTAACCAAATTTATTCATTAAAGGATAAACGGACCCACCTAATAGATAAGAATTAAGTATTTAGCAAATAAAAGGTCTTTAATTTATCGAAAGTCCTTTAACTTTTGAACTGGTTAACTGACTGCATAGTAATATTAATATTAGTATTAACATTAAAATTCTTTTTCTATCGAGACCCTAAATGTGATACAATCTTTGGCAATAAATAAAAATATACGTAAATATCATTTTCATTTTGAAAGAAAAATACACATTAATATTTCTAAATCTATTATTTTATTTATTTATTTCTTATAAATATAGTATTTTTAAATTTATTATCTTTATCACTTTTTTGTTTCACTCCATATTTACATCTCTTTTTTTCGCGCCTTTTAAATTTAGTGAATTTATTAATTTTTTAATAATCATATTTAATAAATCGTTCATTACACCACCACTTCAATTACTTTTAGATTTCTTAATTTATTGTTAATCATTAGAGGGAGAGCTATAATTATAGCTAGAAGATTGAAATTATTTGCTTGGACAACAATATCAAAGAAAACGATTAAAGAAAAAATACAATATACTGGAAATAAATTTTTTATATCAATATAAGAAAGAAAAGGAAAAAAAGAATGGAATTAGGAACAATTGAAAATTTAAAACCAAAACCTGAAGCAATTAAAACAATAACAACGTCACAACAGTCAATTAATAACGCAATAATTAACAACAACAATATTGCTACTAGTAACAGCAATAACATTAATAACGATAATAATTCAAGAAAAAGATCAAAATCAATTTCTCATTCAACTATTTCATCTTCAAATTTTCATCATCAATCAATAAAACTACAAACAACAACCAATAATATTTCGTCGTCAATGAATATTGAAGATGATTCAAATTCATTGATTGTAAGTGATATTCAAAATTGGGAAACTACTTTAGAAAAAGCCATCAAAGCAATTGTTAGCATTAAAGCAAATCATGTTAGAAGTTTTGATACTGAGTCATCAGGTAAATCTTTTTAATAGATATTTATTTATTATATTTATTGTTGATTTATTAATTTATTTTTAAATTTTAAATTTTAGGTGATTATTCAGCTACAGGGTTTGTAGTTGACATAGAGAAAGGTTTAATTTTATCAAACAGACATGTTGTATCACCAGCACCAATTGTAGCTCAAGCAATATTTACCAATTATGAGGAAGTAGAGCTAAAACCTATTTATAGGGATCCTGTTCATGATTTTGGTTTTTTGAAGTTCGATCCATCAAAGATTAAATTTATGGATTTGGTACAGATTCCTCTTAGTCCTGAAAAGGCCAAAGTTGGTTTAGAAATTAGAGTTGTTGGTAATGATGCTGGTGAAAAATTGTCTATATTATCTGGTACATTGGCAAGATTAGATAGAAGGTAAATATATAATATATACTGTCAAACCTCGATAGGCCGAACCAATTTTCGCTTTATAACAATGTAAAAGTGGTTAACCAAAGACACAATTAACTATAATTGTAAATTATCATAAACCGAATTTTGATAAGCCGATCCCATTTTTGTTATTCCCAAAAGTTCGGCTTATCAAGATTCGACTGTATAATAAAGAATAAACAGACACAATAACTCATTTATGTATTGTATTTTTAGAGCACCAGAATATGGAGTGGGAGAATATAATGATTTTAATACATTTTATTTACAAGCGGCATCGGGTACAAGCGGAGGTTCATCAGGTAGTCCCGTGTTAGATATAGATGGGAATGCAGTAGCTTTAAATTCTGGTAGTGCAAGTAGAGCGGCATCAAGCTTCTATTTACCATTGGATCGAGTCAAGAGAGCATTACATTTCCTACAAGAAGGAAAATCTGTACCACGTGGAACTATACAAACAGAATTTGAACATATGCCATATGATGAGTTACGTCATTTAGGCCTTGATCCTAGCATAGAAGAAAATGTGCGTGAAATGTTTCCTGATGAGACTGGATTACTTGTGGTACGATCAGTTTTACCTAAAGGTCCATCGGATGGTATATTGATACCAGGTGATATTGTGATATCTACTAACCATTCAACTGTTACAAACTTTTTGGATTTGTTTTCATTGATTGATGATTTTATTGGAAAAACAATATCACTTTCAATATGTCGCAATAAAGTGATAGAGGATGTTACAGTTCTGGTACAAGATTTACACTCAATAACTCCCAATAGATTTGTAGAGATTGGTGGAGGAGTTGTCAACGAGTTAAGTTATCAATTGGCACATTCTTATTCACAACCTGTTGGTGGTCCATTTATAGCAGCAAGTGGACATATGTTTGGTGGTGCATCTGCTTTTCGTGAGAGTGTGATTGTTAGTGTTAATAATATTTTAACACCAAATTTAGATGAATTTATTGAAGTGATGAAGACCTTACCAGATGGTGCAAGAGTTCCCATAAGGTTCTATTCTTTATCAAAAATTCATAAAGAATATGTTACTATTATGCATGTTGATAGACACTGGCATAAGTTTCAAGTCGCTGTTCGTGATGGTAATTGTTAATTGTTAATTGTTTGTATAATTATTAATTATTTGAATTAAATATTAAATACTATTGTTATAAAGATATAACAGGGCTATGGAATTATACAGAAATGTCACCGCCACCAGCAATTCATTCATATGAACCAGTGACAGGATCTTATCAGACATTACATTCTTCATTAGGACCAGCTAATAAATTATGGTCATCATTTGTATTAATAGAATTTCGTTTACCATATCTTGTTAATGGGATGGTTAGGAAACAAGTAAGCATTTATGTTTATATCATTAGTTTATATTTAAACATTTAAGCATTTATCTAATATATAATATTTATTGATTATAGTTTTATGGTGCTGGAATAATTTTTTCAACTGATCCACCAATAATAGTATGTGATCGAGATACCATACCAATAAGTGTTGGCGATGTATTTATAACATTTGGTAATAGTGTGATAATACCTGGTAAAATCTTGTATTTGCATCCGTTATATAATTATGCAATATTAACCTATGATGCTAAATTGTTGGGAGAGACACCAGTAAAAGCCATAGAGATTTATGAAGGACGAGAGTTAGATCAAGGCGATGAAGTTTATTTGATTAGTGTGGCAGGTGATTCATCGCCTGTTATGAAAAAAACATACGTAAATCATATTGGAGATGTTGATACAAGAGAATGCAATCCGCCAAGATGGAGAGCTATGAACGTTGAAGGAATAACCGTTGATGATGCTATTGGAACACAAGGTAAAAATATTTAATATTATGTGCATAAATTGGTTTTTTATTTGTTTAATAAATTTAATAATGAATATAAATTATTGATAGGAGGAGTATTATGCAATGAAGAAGGAAAAGTACAAGCATTATGGTTAAAATATTCATCACAGAATGAAAATGAAAAGGATTACATCTTTTTTTGTGGATTACCAATATCATTGGTTAAACCTACCGTTGAATTAATCAAGAAAGGAGAGCATCCGGAATTGAGAGGATTGAATGTAGAATTTTGGACCAGAAGAATATCTACAGCAAGAGCTTATGGATTACCAAATGATTGGATTAAAAAAATAGAATCAGCGCCCAATTCCAAGCATACAATGCTATATGTTTTAAATATTTTAGATTTTACTAGTCCAGCTGGTAAATTATTAAAAGTTGGAGATATTGTATTGAAGATGAATAGAAATCTTGTTACTAGGATGGCAGATTTACCTAAAGCGTATAATGAAGCAGAAGAAGTTGACATGGTAAATTTCAATATCTGAATTAATCAAGTCTAAAAGAAATTATTGAGATTTTTTTTTAAAATTAATGTATCATTTTATATTTAGCTTGTTTTTAGAGATGGAAAAGAGATAAATGTTAATGTGGCAACCACGCCATATGACAAAAAGGAGACAACGAGGATTTTATGTTGGTCTGGGGCATTGATACAGATGGCATATAAAGCGGTATTAGAACAAGTACGTAAGCCACCAATAGGAGTTTATGTAGCATGTACATTGTTCGGATCACCTGCATCAATCACATTTCATCCAGGGATATGGATAGTTGAAGTACAAGGTAAAAAGGTGAATGATTTGGATTCGTTTTTGAAAGCAGTTAAACAACATGAAGTAGAGATGAAGGAGAATGAAGGGGATGGGTATATTAGAATAAAAACTATTGATAGACGAGATGTTACTCATGTGGTAACAATGAAACTAGTACCTCACTATTGGAACACATGGCAATTGATAAAAGATGACTCAGCCCAGACTGGCTGGAAATGTGTACCTGCTTAACAACGAGAAGGAGAGTAAAGTTAATAGATTAATTGATTTACTATTATTATTATTATTTTAAAATCAATTTTTCAATAGATTATTTTATTTTATTTTATTTTATTTTATTTATTTATTTACCTTTTTATTATTTTATCTTGATTTATTTTTATCTTTATTTATTTTTTTTATTTTTATTTTTATTAAATGAATTTTATAGAGATTTATTATTCAAGTATTTAAATGATAGATCGCACAACAATTAGAGAATTTATATATATGAAAAATAGGGGCTAATTTACATAATAAATATAAGATATTTTGTCACACAAGGAAATCAAGTTGCTTGTTGATTGTTCATGACTCACTTATCAGCTACAGTGCGGATCATCTATACTCAAAAGTTAAATTTTTTGAAATATTATGTGATCCACACATTGGATTTTTAAAAAATCCACCGCCATTTAATTCAGCTTTAAAAAGTGAGTCTACTAATCTAAAAAAAAAATTTGTCTCAAATTTTCTTTTTCATATATAGATTTTTTAAATTTGCAAGTTATGCTCAAAAGCGCAACAATAATTTTCGTGTTACAATATTTTGAATCTCACGACCAAATTTGGTAATGATTTTCTTTTAGTGTAATACAGTCAGGGAGATTTCCAAATTTGGAAATCAATTCTAGAAATTTTGTTGATCAATTCATATACACTACAAATGAG